TATATATATAAATATATATATATATATATAATATAAGATATTTCATGAAGTTAACTATATTAAGGTATTTGTAGGTTTATGATTTTTTGGAAAGTGTGGGAGCAACTTTATCTAGTCTGATATTTCCAGCAAAAGAAGCATATCCCTTGTTATGGCATATTTATTTGTTGGAGTGTGAATGCATTTCTATGCCAGTGTGAAAGAGCAAGGAATGAATGAAATATAACTATAGAACAAATATCTTTGTGATTTTATTTTCAACTTTTCTACTTACATTATACTAGTGTCAGAATGTAATGAAAAATTTTAGCATTTGTCAATTCACTTTTTTCTATCTTAGAATTGTTAATTCAAGTGTATATAAATATATTTTTTTCAGATTTAACACTCACCTATTTTTTTTCTTTTTTCTTTTGAGTTTTACACCTCAAAATCTAATATTTGAAGCAAAATAAAAAGGAAACAAAAGCACGAGACCCACACACCAAAAGCCCAATTGCCGGCCTGTATTGCCATCCACAATAATTGCTATCCTTTAACTACCATAAGATTCTTTTTTTTTTTTTTCTTTTTTTTCTCCTGTAGCTATCTCACAATAACATTATCTATATTCTTTTATTGGATTTGTTATATATTACTGTTAAATAGCATCCATTCATATTATTATCTAAAAGATTATATTTCCATGTAGATAATGGTTTCAACAGGTAGAATCAAGGTTTTTTATGTAATATTAAAAGTATTTGGTATATTATATCAGGTTTATGTATACATATAGAGAGTTTAGGTATGATTTTTAATTATCTAGTAGTACACCAAAATTTGAAAAAAGAAAGAAAAAAATATAGGGATGAATAGGTTTTGACTTACATTCTGTTTATTCTTCGCTGCATCAAATGAAAGACAAGTTTATATATTTGATGCTTACTTTCCATTCATATGTAAACCTGCTATGTGTGATATTAAAGTCCAGATGGTTCTCTTCAGACCAAGAAAAAAACAAAACATTCAAAATGAAAAGTACTGCTGTACAAAGATAGAAGTATGATAATTTTCATGATTAATAAATTATCCTTAAGACAAAATATCTAAAAGTCTTTCTGTCATTCATAATCAAAAAACACCAAATAGAGAAAGTAACACATGTTTCTTATTGGTATTTATTCTATGATAGTATTTTAAATATACACACTATTCAAGAACAGTATCGTATTGGTAATAAGATAACCATTCTTTTCATTCTGATATTGTATTTGTAACAAACATAACAAAATACTATGAATCATTCATCTTATTAGTTTAAAAGTTATTGTGATACAGTGAGGTGTAAGAAGCATGACCATTGACTACAGTAAACAGGCCTACCATTGAATTGAAGGGCATGTGCTTGGATCTTTCAGTGTAGCAAAATACTTCACTGCAAACCCCAAAGAAAAAAATTGAATGGACAACTAATATGCTTGGCTTTTATTTTTGCACACAGTTAATTAGTCTTGAGTATTAGGAATAAATCAACATGTTCCATATATTTATTCTTGAAGTTAAATATATTTATTTTATGAATTCACATATAAAACTTGCCTTTACTCTATAGACCATTTTTGTTTCATGGAATCTAAAATGTGTTTTGTGAGAGTAACAGAATTACAAAAATAATTCACACTACATCATATGTATTTCTTCGCAGTCTGCTACAGGCATTAATATTAACATAACACAAAGTTTAGTTTGAGGGTAACTCATTTTTCATTCAAACTCTAAATGTACAGATGGACTTTTGAAGTAAACTTATTTTTTATCTTTTGTGAGTTACTTTACTTTTAAATCATCCTATTTCTTTCCCCTTCAGTAATTGAT